GATCCATATTGAAGTATCCTGCGCCCTCTGTGGGACATTGTGGGCGCCCTGACCGATCGGAAGACCACCAGAAAGACTTCGGGGGGAAAGAGATACACCTTCTGGAAAGAAAGCGGGCCTAAAAGCCCCCCCCCCAGACGTCCATCACCGCCCAGGAGCAGAGACATAGGTTGCAAATCCCACTAGCCCTTCAGGGCGTAGGTGGTCTAGGGTGTGTTGTCTTCCCTCTGCCCCTCTTTCCCTCCCGGACCCCCTCTTCCCTGGACCTCGACGGGCGTCCCCCGAGGAGGTGGAGCGTCCCAAATGGCCCAAGATTGCTGAAAGAACGCCTCGGAGAGCCCAAGATGAGCCCCAAGATGGCTCAAGAAATCCCAAAATGCCTCAAAATGGCTCCCAATATGCTCCAAGAGGCTTCCAAACCGCTCCAAGACGGCCTAAGGAGGTCCCGAGGAGGCCAACATCCTTCCAAAACCTAAGGGAAATCACTGTGTTATGCTTTCTCGCCTTTTCGCTTCCGATGGCCATCCGAGGCCTCAAGACGGCTCCAAAATGGCCCCAGGAGAGACCCAAGAGAACCCCAAAGCGCTCCAAGAGCGCCCCAAGAGGCGACTTTTGGAACTCCCAAGGGGGGGCGCCAATTGAAACTCACCTGTTTTTTGATCGATGTCCTCCAAGATGGCCCCAAGAGCGCCCCTGAAGCTCCCAAGAGCGCCCCAAGAGGCGCCCAGACGGTCCCAAGTGGCGCCCAAGATGCCTCCATGAGGCTCCCAAGAGACCCCTAAGAGGCGGCTTCAACAGGATCCCCGAGGCACCCAAGACGCTCAAAGACGGCCCTGGGCTCGCCAAGATGCCTTTTCTCACCCTCCTCCTCCTCCTCCTCCTCCTTGTCCACTGTCTCTTCCTCCTTCCTCCTCTTCGCCCTCCTCCTCCTTCCACTTCTCCTCCTCCTCCTCCTCCTCCACTATCCTCCCCCTCTTGAGGTATCGGACGGCTTCCCCCGCCCTTTGTTCTTCTGCATGCTCCCCCACTTCCCTGGTCACCTCAATTCCATTCGGCATCGTTTTTGGATGGGAAGCGTCAACAATGGACATGATTCGGTTTATGTATATCTATGTATATATATATATTTATATATAAGTAAGTAGAGATGCCAATGTACACACACTTTATGTGTATGTAGATCCATCAATATGTAAAGACATATCATTTCATCTTCGTTCATACGACAACAGCTGCAATTTCGGGCCTTTACGTTGCCGAAGCAACGGGTGAACGCAGTATCCACTGGGAAAGACCAGACATGTACAAACACAAGGCCATTCGCGGGGATATCATTGATGGTGTGCATTGCAACCTATACATATACATATATATATATATATATATATATATATACACTGGTCGCAAAGCAAAGGCACGATCTATTGAAATGGTGGCTGGCGGCTTGGAAGCAATGCTAATCGAGGCTATGCTTGCTTAGTCAACAAGAATATCAAGCTTGCAGTAGCCCGGGTAAACATACCCATACCCTCACATGATCTGCGGTCTGCGGCGTATCGATACCGTTATCCTATCCCAACGTAACTCAAACATTGAAACGTTCTGTGATGTATCAACCCTTCCACCTATTGTTTACACATTCTCGACATGGATTTCACGCATATGGTGCTAACTTACAGGGAACGACGGGCGCAACACATGCTGAATACACCCAGCAATTTATTGATCTTGCAATGTTTGTGAGCTGAGATGTATGGCCAACCTATGGATGTGGTTCTCAAGTTCGCGCCAGAAAAAAAACTCGAAGCGTAGATCAACATCTACGTCAAACCATGGCTTGCCATACGCATGGTGAGTAAATTCGGGAATCGCTTTCGAACGAACGGGTCAAATTACCGTTTTGCTATTACTATTGCTATGGGACAAACGTAGGTAGTAACCGTTCGACAGACTGCAACCGAGATAATTGTGCTTCCAATGTGCAGATGATGAACAACATTTACCCAAAGCGCTTGTTCACAATTGTGGGTCCTTGAATGCGTATGCCCCGCTGAACGACGTCAAACTGCTGGTATAGCAGAAGAGTCTACAATACTTTTTCGTTGCGGTGCGAGCAGTTGTGCTGAGCGACGTATCGCGAGCCGCAACCACAATGAGAACCTGCACATGTTTTGATACTGAAAGTACTCTGACGAAGCAAAACAACACCTTTTTTTTCCAGAAAGCAAGCAGAGGATTGTCAAGCACTGTCGGGAACAATTGTGTGGGGGGCAGAGCGCATAATTGAATTGCGACAAACGAAACTGACTCAGAACAACGACAAGCAACTCCGGAACACTGCCAACTGGTGAATGTATAAAAAAACAGGCATCACCAACAGGTGCTGTGGTGCCGACGCGCCCTGCTGAACGCATGGTTTGAGTGACCGTACATCGTCGGAACCTGCGCGTCTGCTGGCCGACCTGCCAGGAGCGCAGTGTTATCCTGTTCTTCCTCCTCCTGCCTTCGCCTGGCGTGCTTCGCCTTCTCCCCTGCGCCTCCCATGTTCGTTTGCCGTGGCTCTGCGTCGTTCGGGTCCGCTCAGAAGATACATCAGCCAGCGCCGGCCCTAAATAGATCGTACGGCTGACATGAAGTGGATGATAGTGGACTAAAGTAGACTGGCGTTGACTGGGGTAGACTCCACTCCATACTCTGTTCTACCCGACTCTACTCTACCATCTACTCTACTTTACTCCACTCTGCTTTGCCTTACCCTACTCTACACTACCCTACCCTACATGCTATTATTTTCTGTTATACTCTACTCCTACTCCGCCCGATACTTACTCTAATATAATATCCGCCACCGTGCCCTCGGACACGAATTGGAGTGTCCTCCTTGCCCGATCCCGGAAGCCTCAGCCTGAACTTACGAAATCTTCTCCAAGAGCACCCCCTAGAGGGCCTCCCAAGGCAAGCACCGTTCAATTTCTTTCGGAGGCCCCCAACTGTTCCCAAGAGGCCCCAAACAGGGCCCGAAGACGGCCCAAGAAGACCCCAAGACTGCCCAAGAGGCGCCTAAGACGGCTCGAGAGAGCCTCAAGACGGTCCCAAGAGGAGCCCAAGAGAGGGGAGCCCGAACCGATAATTCGAGCCTCTTCTCCCAATATGCCCCCAGGAGGCCCCAGGAGGTCCCAGGAGGCCCCCAATATGCTCCAAGAGGCCCCAAAACGGCCACCGAGAGGCCTCACAATTTCCTTCACGAGGCCCCCGAGAGGCCTCCCGCGACATCCCAGCAAACATCCTGCAGGCCTATGACCCACAACCCTAGCACAGTGGCGAGATGGGCTGGAGGCCATTCGATAGACTCCTCTACTCTGGTCTGCTCTTCTCTACTCCACTCTTCTCTAATCTACCCTGCTTTACTCTGCTCTATTCCCATTCCCACTCTGGGCTTCTGCTGGCCGATCGCCCCTGTATCCGGGACCTTCGATCCGACCCGTTGAAACATGCCAAACCTGCGGTTTTCGTCTCAACATTGACACCCTGCCGTCCGTGCCGCAGCATGCGAGGCATGAGCGGGGCGGGGCGCGCATCCCGCGCGAAGTGTCGAACTGTCTCTCTCGCTTCGGTGCCCGCTCGTTGTCTAGAGAACTGAGCTCCCGCTCGGGCGCGGCGCACATCCATGCCGCACGCATTCTCGTCGACGCGCGACCGGGCGAAGACATCGCTCTCGCCCTGGCGCCGCGCAGATTTCGCCTGCGAGTGGCGCTCCCGCCCCCGCGCGGCGCATACCTGCCTCTCGCCAGTGCGGGGGGGCCCGCTTGCAGGGGAGACCTGTTGCCCTCGCCCAGGTTCCGTGCGCAGTTGGATCGGAGGTGGCGTTGCAATGCGGGCGCGGCGCATGGTCCGCTCGCCAAAACGAATGACAGTGACAGCGGCGACGGGGCTGCGCGAGAGCGAGGGAAATGCCGACCTCACCCAGCCGCCGCGCAATTTGAGAGTGGATGTGGCAAAACTGTGTCAGCGCGGCGCATGCTTCGTCGTTGCTGCGCCCATCGGAAATTTTGTCGCCCCCTTCTTCGCCAAGTCGTCGGAACGAGACCGGGAACGAGCGCCTTCCGTTTGCGAGGTGGGAGCGCGTTCCAATCCCAATATCAAGCTGTGCCACAATTGAATATCATGGTGTGGGAGGCAGGGTGGGAGTAGGGGGGGGCCCTCTGACTCGCTCGACCTGGCTAGCTTGACTGTACTCCCACTCCAACTCCTGCTCCTACTCTACTATCCTCCACTCTACTCTACCCTGCTTTACCCGGCTCTGTTCTCGGTATAAACATATATAACTATTTTGCTCTACTGTGCTCTACTCTACTCTACTCATCCACTCTGCTCTGGTCTAATCTACTCTACTCTGGTCTATTCTACCCGACTCTACCCTGCCATCTACCTTGCAGCAAGGACCCCCCGCGCCACCGGGAGAGCTTAGAAGGCGCCAGGAGGTGTGAAGAGAGAGACCCCAACAGAGCCCCACGAATCCCATCCACATCCCTGAATACCACCCCCCTAACAATCCCACCAAACGTCCTCTTGCTCATGTCGTGCTGGTCCGCCGTGCTCGTGCGCCGTGTCTCACTCATCTCTCTCTCTCTCTCTCTCTCGCAGTTCCAACGTGAATCCCTCAAAGCACATGCACAAAGGAGGAGGAAAGGGATGACGGGGGAGCGGGCTACCCGCCGGCGCCGCCGCCGCCGCCGCCCGGCCCGCGGCTCGCCGCCCTGCTCCGCACGGCGCCGCAGGGCCAGCACTGCGCGGGCGCCGCGTCCAGCAGGGCTCGGGCAGCGCCCAATGCCAGCCGGACGTTGATCAACGTCCGCAACGTTTCGTTTCGTTTGTGCTCTGGTCATCCGGATATCATGGCTTGGGCGCGGATATGGGGGCGGTGCGGCGTGGAGGGGGGTAAAAACCCCTCACCGAAAAGGCGGAAGGGGGGTGCACAACGCCCGGGCGCCCTGGCTTTTGAGCAATGCACATGTCTGGGGTCGACGTTGGGGTAATCGTACATGGGGGGAAGCGCATGGGAACGGAACGAAATACCACATCTTTTATGCGGGTGCGACTACGGGCTACGAACGATGTCCGTAACAAGACTTGCATATGAGGCAGAGGCTAGCCGGTTGGGAGCAAGCCTGTGCCAGCAGTGTCAGCAACATGAGCAGTGGTCTGCCGAGATGTCGGCCTTTGGCCAGAATGGCAAGCCAAAAAACAACGTACCGGTTACCTCCGCTGCTGCTGAGAGCTCAGCCTCTAATCTCGGAACGAACTACCACTATGCGGCAGCCTGTGCTGCTTGCCACTCGCGATCGTGGTGCAGCCACTTGCCGCCTGCCATGGGCCGAGGCGCAACTTGAAAGAGTTGCCTTTGCGTGATCACACATGTTTAAGCATTCAAGCTGCAAAACAGAGCGCCTCATCGACAACTAATTGGTTGAGAGAGCTGTGGCGGCCGCCGTTACCAATTCCAGAAATATTCCGCTCCTTGCGTTCCACAAAGCGCTGGTCTTCGAATTCGTTACGCTCCTTGGCTTCCCACTCTGACGACCCTACCCCGATCCCCGCCGACCCCCTCGACAACTTGCACACGTGCCAGCGCTACAGCTGGACCACGAACTTCAGAACCGCCTCGGGACGTGTGTTGGCGCCAGCGGATGTTGTCCACAGGAGGCCCTTCGACACAACGGAGGCTGCGCAACGAGGGCCGACACGGGCTGCGCGCTGTCAGCGGGGCCGAACAGCTGATAGCGCATGCCAGGGCTAACACACTCCCTGCGGAGCATCGAGACCTCGGGCGGCTGTGCAGCGCTCCTGGGAGGAAGAGCGAACTGCGTAGATCAGTGAACATAAGCTTTCGGAGGTCTGCGTGGACTTCCTGGGTCAGCGCTGGACCTCCCTGGCGCGCGGAGCGCGCCGGGGGAAGCGCCGAATCTGAGGAGTCCGCGCCGAGCTCCGAGAGGTTCTGCGTAGGAAGCCTTCGGTGGCAACTCATGGGAGCCTCGCATATCATCTTGTGGGCTCTTGCGACTCGACGCTAGTCGACGCTAAATCGACCCCACTCGACTCTAAGTCGACGCTAGCCGACGCTAAATCGGCGATAGCCCATCGACTCCCAGACGCTAATCGACGCTGAAGACAGGACTACGAGGGTACACCAGGCTCCCATGGTTTGCTGTCGCAGCAGCCCCTCTGTCCCTCGAGCCCCCGCGCGGCCGTGCGGCGCTCACGCGAGGATTGCCCAAGGGTCCTCGGGGTCCTTGAACTCGGTCTCCTCTCGGGAGCGGCCAAGAGGGGGGTGTCCAAGAGGGGGGGGTGCAAATCATGGCCAGCGGCATGTGCGCGGCCCAGCGGGGGGGGGCCGGGACCGTCTTGAAACGAGAGGAGGCGCCACGAAGTCTGCGGAAATCTCATGCCCCCCGCCATGATATCCACCCCCCCCCTAGTTACCCTGACCTTCCAGGAGGGCTAAAAAATAGCACCAGGACGTCGACGCCCTAATTCCTGCCGAGGTCTGAGGCAGTCCAGATAGATCTATAGGTCTGGAGTGCTATTTTTTAGCCCTCTGGAAGGTCAGGTAGTCATCCCCCCCCCCTCATTCCCGCCCCCGATCCTCCCGCGACCGCCGGACCCTCCAAGGAGGGGAGGGGAAAGCAAAGGGCAGGTTTGAGAATCAGCTCACGTAGCTGATTTTCCCGGCGCCTCCCGGCGCCGGAGGCGGCGATGTATCGAAGAATGGGCCCCTCGGTGAGGCCGAAACCAGCTGCATGCAGCAAATTCCGTAACCCCCCCTTTCCCAATCCCCCCCCTTCCGCCCGGCCCGATAGTCCTCCCCCCCCCCCTCTTTCCCGCCCCCGATCCTCCCGCGGCCGCCGGGCCCTCCAAGGGGCAGGCCCGCAGGGCACGACGAGCGCGGGAGCGACGGGCAGGCCCCTTGCCGGGCTCTTAACGCTCCTCCGCAGCGCGCCGGCCCAGGGCCCGCCCAGGGCCTGCCCGGCCGCCCCCCGCGGCCCCCCCCTGACCTTCCAGGAGGGCTAAAAAAAAGCACCAGGACGTCGACGTCCTAATTCCTGCCGAGGTGGTTTCAGGCAGTCCAGGTAGATCTATAGGTCTGGAGTGCTATTTTTTAGCACTCTGGAAGGTCAGGGTAGTCCTCCCCCCCTCTCTTCCCCGCCCCCGATCCTCCCGCGGCCGCCGGGCCCTCCAAGGGGCAGGCCCGCAGGGCACGACGAGTGCGGGAGCGACGGGCAGGCCCCCGGCCGGGCTCTCTTCGCTCCTCCGCAGCCGCCGGCCTAGGGCCCGCCCGGGGCCTGCCCGGCCGCCCTCCGCGGCCCCCCCCCCCCCTGCAGGGCCGCCTCTCCGGAGGCCCGGCGGGCCGCGGCAGAGGAAGAACTTACCGGCCTCGAGCGTATTTCCTATCCCGAAGATTGGCACGCCAAGAGGCGATGACCATCTTAGGGATCCGCCCTCAAAAGATAGGGGAACCCCTGAGATTGGCATCGTGGTGAGGAGGTGCCCAGCATAGGGATGGGGATATGTTCCAGGCTGGTAAAGAACAGCGGCACGACAGGCATAAAAGCTCTCGGAGGTCTGCGCAGATCTCTCGGATTGGTTTTGGACGCCCGAGATGGGTACGGAAAGGATGGGTACAATGCCCAACAACAACAAATGTTGTCCCAAACCAACAGCGGCCGCTGTTGGGCAGGCGGCCTTCTGCCTCGAATGGACACAGGCCGCGGCGGCGTGGACAGCGAATCCTGTCCGAAATGAACAGGAACTGCTGTTGGGCATTGTACCCATTCTTTCCGTACCCATTTCGGGCGTCCAGATTGGTGCTGGTTCCCCCGTTCCCTGGCGCGCGGAGCGTGACAGGGGCGGCGCCCGAGGCGCCGCAGCGGGGGCTCCAGCGCCGATCCGAGAAACCCGGGGAGCTCCAAGGGTTGATGCTTGTGCAGCTGTTTCTTCTGCTGCCATGGGTCGGAGGAGAGACCACGGGGGGAGTGCAGAGGGGCGAGCCTTCTCGAAAAGCTTGGAAAGACCCGGGCCCTCTGACACGCTTTCTAAGCCTTTTCCGAAGTCACTTAGGGCTTCTCAGAATGCCGCAGGGCTTCTGAGAAGCCCCGCCGCCTTTTGAGAAGGCCTGCCCCCTCTCACTTCCCTAGGGGGAGGAAAAGCTGCGAAAACATAAGCTCTCGGAGGTCCACGCGGATTTCTCGATTCTGCGCTGGGGCCCCTTAGCGGCGCCTCTGGCGCTGCCCCTGGCGCGGCGCGCCAGGGAAGGGAGCCCAGCGCAGATCCAAGAAATCCCCGCGGACGGTCGAAAATTGATGTTTATGCAGATTCTTCTTCCTCGACTTCCCCTGGTCTCGCCGCCGACATGGGGCTCCTCGATGGGCGGCATGTCCACCACCGCGTACCCCGCCCCGCCGGCGAACCCGTGCTCCCAGATCACGCCGACGCGTGCCCTGCCGGCCTTTGGCGGCAGCACCGCGACGTCACTGTAGCCGCCGTCTCCGGCCTCCACCATGCCCAGCTTTGTAAAGCCGATGCTGTTGTGGACCACGCTCCTTACTCGGCGGTGGACGAGCCTCCCTCTAGCAAACCTCCCCCTCTAGTGAAAACGGCCTGGGACCGAAACCAACGGCCCTGGACGCGCAAAAGTGACGGCCGCGAACCGAAGACGGCCAATTCGCTAATCGACGTGTCAGGGTACAGGGCAGTTTTTGATAATAGCATTCTTAAACATATAGGATTTTTATACATGATTGATGTATGAATAAATTCATGCATGAACTCATCGTTGTTTTTAATACCAAATCCCTGCATGTTTTTCATACATGATCCGCACGCGGAGCATGCATTGAAAACGGCACCGTAGGAGGTCTGGTCTGCCCATGCCCGCTGCAGGAACGGCGCCCGTGCACCGTGCCATGTCCGGGCTTCCTTCCGGGCCCCGCTCCAGCTCGGAGCACGGCGCACAGCTCGCCGACGCGGCACGGCGCACACGAGCCGCCCGCGGAGGGGAGGACGAAACAGCAGAAGGAACAGAAGCCTTCGGAGCCCCGCGCGGCTTTCTTCGGATCTGCGCTTGGGCCCCCTGGCGGCGCCTCCGGCACCGCCCCTGGCGCGCCAAAGGAGCGACGTCTGGCGCAGATTCAGGGAACCCGCGCGGAGATCTAAGACGCTATGTCTATTCTGTTTTTTCGTCGTTGAGGGGGAACAGTTTTAGAGGAAAGAGAACTATGCACATGCACCGATTCTGGCCAGGACCATCCTGAGCCCAGGATCGGTGCATACGCCCTCTTACCTTGGCCAGGAAGGCGTATGCACCGATCCTGGGTCAAGGATCGGCCTTGCCAGGATCGGTGCATGTGCATAGTTCTCCTCGCCCGAGAGGGGGAACAGTTTGGGGGAGAACCGAAGGTTCAAGGCTCGTGGTTTTCGGACGTCCTCGTGGGCTCTCAGCGGCTTTCCAAGCTCGGTGTGCCTTCCAGCGGCTGTGCTCGTAGATAGCGCGCCAGGGGTTTGCTGGATCGTCCCGAACGGCCGCCGGAGGTTGGCTCAGGCGAAGAAGCATCGAGATGGAATCGGCGGTAGATCGCCAACAGCTCGGCGCTAGATGTGCCGCCGATGAACATGCAAGCGGGCCATCGGGCCCCTCGTGAATGGGCGATTGGGGTTCGGTGTGTCCCCCCCTAGCCTATGCCTCTTCTGACGTTGGGTCGGGCATGTGTTCCTACAGGCAGATTTGGGAAAACAAGTGGAAAATAGCCAACAAATAAACAACATGAGTCAAAAGACCACGGAAAATCGTCACCCGACTATTTTCCTTTCTATTCTTGAATGTTCCTCCTGTATCGGGGAGACGTAAGACCCGGGTACGGGGGACTCGGAAATCCCCGACGAGTTCGTCAAAAAAATGACGAGGCCGAGCCTGCATTTGACGAGGCCTCCCGCTGCAGACATCCCACGGAACTCCTCCTCGTCAAAATCCGAGGCGCGGTCGTCAAAAAACGATGGCGAACCCGAGTCCTGGCAAACCCGGGTCTTACGCTCCCCCGACTGTAGAGAGACATGCCCGGTCTAATCCTATAAATTTGCCCCTGAACTCCTGGGCTGGCCGCCTTCAGCCACTTCGCGCCACGAGGGGCAAAGCACAGGCGCCCCCTCAGACCCGACGTCATGAAACAAAGTAGGGAGCCCACAAAGGACGTACGCGCCCAGCTGTGTACATGAACACGGCCCCTCGATCCGCGAGAATGGCCGCGTGATACGACCATTCGGGCAATGCGTACTCTCGAAACCAGCGCGGATTCATGTACGTGTACGTCCTTCTCTCGCTCCTGACAAAGCGCACCCTGGCGAACAATCACGACCGGAACCCTGGACGAAGACGAAGCCAGGACGAGGATCAAGTCGGGTGAGGAAAACTGAGAATCTCTGTTGTCCGATGGGTTTGGAGGATGTCTCGGGCGCCGCGGCCTTCTCAGAGCGTTTCAGGGCGCTCTGAGAGCGTTCTGGAATGCTCTGGAGCGACTTTATCCTCAGCCTAGCCCTGTCCGATGGACCCATCTTTCTGCGACCTGCGGTGGTCCTGGGCCCCAAGCCAAGCCAAGCGAAAACGCCCAGTGTGCAGAAGCTTGCAGTGGCCGGACACCTTTACGCGCCAGGGCAGGGGTTCCATGGAAGACAAGGGGGCGGGCGGGAACTGTCGTGTTGTGGCGACCCCTGCGCTGGTTTCTGACAATGCGTGGATCGTTCAACCTTCAGCGATCGGTAACCTTTCGATCGCCATATATTTCTACTAGAACCACGCGCGCGCTTCGCGCGCGCTTAGGTTCTCTTTTGGGGGCCTCTTTTGGGCCTCTCGGGGGCCTCTTGGGGCGGAAAGCTCGACATGCCGGTTCGTATTTCCCCTCTTGGGTCCCTCTTGGGGTCGTCCTGAAGCCCTCTTGGGCCGTCTTGGGCCTCTCTCGGGCCGTTTGGGGGCTCTCTTGGGCCGGCTTGGGGGCCTCTTGGGGGCATCTTGGGGGCCTCTTGGGCCCTCTTGGGACGATGTTGGAGGCTTTTTGCGTAGTCTTGGCGTGTCGAAGCCCGAAAACGCGAACAGCAAAAAACAGCGAAAAACACAATGAAAATCTACAATGTTGGCCTCCTGGGGCCTTCTTGGAGGTTCTCTTGGAGCGCTCTTGGGGCCTCTTGGGGGCCTCTTGGGCCATCACGGGGCCATCTTCGGCGGCTTGGTGCGCTCTCGGGCTGTCTTGGCGGCCTCTGGGCGCCCTCTGCGGGCGCCAAGGGGGGCTTCCGAGGCGCAGGGAGCGCCCTGGAGCGTTCAAATAGGCTCGCCGGCGCCGGGTACTAAAGTCGGGTGCGGGGGTGGTGGGGGAATTTTGGAAAAGTGGTCTGCCCCTGGGCCCGGGGACCTGGACATCCGGTATATTACATATGTTGGCTCGTTCTGGGCTGCCAACAGTGTTCAACCTTGAATGTTCGTGCTGGAATCGCAGCCGCGCCGACACGACATGAACCTACTATATTTTCTGAGCTGCGTTCAGCCGTGGAGACGACAAGCTCCCGAAACGCCCCAGAACCTCGAAAACGACGACGGCGACGTCGTGGACGATGGGGGGAAGGGGGAGGTGTGCGCGATGGGAAACGAGATGTGCGCGATGTGTAACGACGACACAGTCGACGACGACGACGATGACGACGACGGCGGCGACGACGACGGCGGCCCAGGCGCTCCCGTGCGAGATGTGAAGCGTGATGTCCTTGCGCGCATCGTGCTGTCCCGGCCCGGCGGTCACGATCCGCCCGTCGTCGAGGGCCACTACGCTGCCCTGGCACACGGGATCGGGGATGCACACCTGTAGGAGGACGTCATCTACCGAGATCCCCTCGCCTCGTGAACAAAATACGACGGAGCATGTCCGGGCGTTCTCGGCCTCTGGGGGCGCTCACTGGACGAACGCTGGTCCCAGGGTAAGGTTCCAGCCCTCTGGGGCTCCACGTTGCGAGCAAAATTGGGTAGGTCTGGCTATCCACGTGCACCGATCTTGGCCAGGCCCATCCTGGGCACAGGATCGTTGCATACGCCCCCCTGCCCATGGGCAGGAAGGCAGGAAGATATCTACGCCAATCCTGGGCCCACGATCGGCCTGGCCAGGATCGGAATGAGTGCACAGTTGACGGTCTCGGCCTGGGGCTCGAAGAAGTGCTCGAAGCTAAGGCCCCCGTCCTCAGGGACTGGAGAGCTCCAACAATGCATGAGCGAATACCTTCCGGGGTCCGCGCGGACTTTTTTGCCCGGCGCTGGAAGCCCTCATCGAACTGATATCCAGGTGATCTTTATGTTAGCGCAGAGGTTGAAGCGTAATGGTCAACTGTGCTATCGATGTGACGGAAAATGATGTACGTCGTTTGTAGGTGTCAGGAAGTCGTAGGTAAGGCTGCAAGTGGTCCTCAATAGGCCCCAAGACACATCCCAGGACCACCTCCTGGAGGCTTCACATCCCCTTCGGCGTTTCTGACCTTGAGCCCAGGCGCGGTAGCGGGATATGCCGAAAGCCACTCGATCCGCTGCCCCCCTGTGGTCTTGCCACAGGGGTGCCTGGCGTGCTACGTAGATCCTGCTAATTTTGGCTTTGGCCCCTTTCTCAAACAAACTCCTCCTACGGCTTCGGCCCGTCCCGCCGGCCATGCGGAAGACCCAGCTGCCAAGGTTTTTCCCGCACCAAACGGCTCCAATATGGCCTCCAAGACGGCTAAGTTGGCCCTCAAGTTCGCTCAATATGGGCCGACATGACTTCCATGACTGCCCAAGAGAGTCCAATATGTCTCCAAGATCACTTAGAAAAGGCTCCAAGACAGCCCAAGACGGCCCCAGAGGCCTCCAAAAGGCCTCCAAGAGGGCCCAAGAGGCGTCGAAGACGTCCTCCGGGAGGGCCCAACGAGGCCAACATCATTGCATTTCTTTTTCCGGTATGTTGCTTTGAAGACGATGCCTGGCAAACGGAGCTTTTGGCAGGCGACACCACCCACTCTACACAGCGGCATTCTGGAGGCAACGGGATGGATGAAACAGATCAATGAGCGCAATCCCGTTAGGACAACTGGCATGCGCGTCTCTTTCCAGTATGTTGCTTGGAAGATGATGCCTGGCAATGGGAGGCTTTGGCAGGCGCAAGTCGCACAAATCCCAACTTTCAGCATTGAGCTGATTGAGCCGTGCACTAGCATCCATTTACCCGAGACAACCTTGCGGACGATGGGTCGAGGAACAAACTGAGGACAACTGGACACAAAAGGCATCAGGGTAAGAGGCCTTCTGACGCGTTCTGAATTGAGCGGCGCCGCTTTGTTTGCCTGAGTGTTCGTGAGGCTGCTGCGTGTCGTCACAAGAAGGCCCCAACCATGGCAACTCATTTTCATGAAAGCGGGGGCAGGAGGGCAAACAAGGAGGTGGAACTTAGTGCGAGCACTGAAGAGCCGACCGGCAGCGCAAGGTGCGGAGAAGACTGTCTGCGCAATCTGTCGGGAAAACGCCGCAGCCAGCTGCTGGCAATATTGAGCTTGCTAGCCAGGGCCCAGACTTGCCAAACACGGAATAAAATATTGCCACGATCAAGCCTTGCACGATCGGCGGCGCACAAGTCGGGAATGCCGAAGAAATGGATAACATGACGAACGCGCCCGGGCATGCGAGTGGTGGGGCCGCCGCGCCCAGCCTGAGACAACGACTCGCACGGCGCGCGCATGAACGCAATTTTGACTTTGCCGCTGACAATTCGCCTGCGAAGCACGGCCCAGGGGGCCTTGCGACCGAATTCGAGTTCAGGCCCGTGCACCGCATCCCACTCAATCACCGCGTGACCTGCCTGGCGCAGATGGCGAGACAAGTTGCCGGTGCCGCTGAACAGCTCCACGAAAACTCTAGAGTCGCGGCCGTGGCAGGTTTTCACAGCCGCTGCGAAAACTGCCTGAGAGCGGGCGCCGCCGAGCTCCTCGGCCAGCCGCGCGATGAGATGCTGCTGGCCCGAAGGGGTCTCAATCCACTCGACGGTCACCCTCCCGTGCTTGTCGTACCGGCGAACGCTGTTGAAGACGCGCCAGTTTCACCGTTGCTGCGCTTCCACCAGCGCGCGGCAGCCCAGTGGGCGGTCGTGGCTGGCGCCGCCGTGCCAGGGACTTAGAGCGCGCTGGCTGAGTGGCTCGCTCCGACAACGTGCAGCGCCAAGCCCGAGGCGTCGTGACAGGTGGCTGCAGTCGGAATCCCATTGTGGGCGCTGGCGTCCTGGGCGGCCACGCCAAGGCCCAAGCCAGGGCCTGCTGCCGCGGCAAGTCGAGCGCCGCCGCGTGGTCCATATCCCCCGTCTTCCTCGGCTGCCCCAGCTCCGTCGCGTACGCCGCCGCCGACGCGCAGTTCCCCATGGCGCCGACGTCGCCGAAGGCCCGTTGATCTGCGCCGCCCGCGGCGCCGGCGCCTCGGGCGGCCGCGAGCAACACTCGAACATCAACATGGCGCACAGCGCTGTCGCGCCCTCGCCCTGGAGGAACAGCCGGGCCTCTGCCGCGCGGGCCGCCAATTTGGGCACTGGCGGCCGAGAGCCAGGCGGCCGCTGGCGCTTCCAGCCGGCCTGGGCGAGGGCCAGCTGCGCGAAGTATCCCCGCTGGGGCGCCGCGCGGAGCTGCGGGGGGCCCCGTGAGGGAACTGGGCCGATCCGCGCGGCGGTTGCCCGCGCCGCGCCTCGGTCGAAGGCCCGCGGCAAGACGCCCGCGACGGCCGCGCCCCGCGCCGGGGCCGTCCAGTCGGGCAAGGCGCCGACCGTGAGCCAGCCTACCAGCAGATGCAACGCCTGAAGGTGGAGCGCCTGGGTGGACGGCCGCGCCTTGTTGGCTGCGAGAAAGCCCCGGCGCGGCAGCGAGCGGGCCCGCTCCTGGGCGAAAGGCTGCGCCGGCTGCGCCCTGCTCAATTGCGGCTGCGCCGCCGCCGGCGGCTCGCTTGCGGGCCGGGGAAGTGTCGGTCGCCGTCGGCCAGAACGGCTGACCTTCTGGCGGGCCCGCCTGGAGCGCGCGAGCCTCCATGGGGTGGCTCTGCGGCGTCGCGATGACGAGCGGCTCGATTGGGCCAGGATGGCTCCAGACCAGATGTTTGGAATCGCCTCGAGGGCCCGTCGGCGGGGTTGAGTTCCGAGCGGGCCCATCTGAACGTGACCTTGCTGCGGTCGCAAGCGACGGAGATGGCGAACGTGGCGCGACGTCCTGGCGAGAGACCAAAATCCGACGCTCTGCCCTTTCCCCGTGCACGAGACATGGGCACGTTGCCCCCCGAGCGGCGCCCGCGGCCTGCGCCGCGCGCGGCGCGGCGAAACTCGCCTCCGCGAAGTTGGCCGCGGCGCCCAGCAGCGACGCCGCAGATCGGGCGCTGGCAGAACCGGGTCTAATGGGACCTGGTTTAGCGATGCATGCTGGGGGGCGCCCCACCGCCCCGCCCCGCTAAGCGGAACTGCCGTCGCCCGAAAAAAAAGCCAGCCGCGGCAAACCTGGTCTAGTGATTCTGGCCAATTGAGGGGCTCTGGGGGCCACCTGCTAACTGGGTCCCCTTGCGTGGGCCCCCTAAGCAGAGCCTCTCCGGCTGCCCCCCTGCGGCCCGCGCGCGTTGCCGAGCTGCCGGCGGGCCGCGCAGACGCCCGCGCCCTGGGGGGGGGGGGGCGTCGAAGGCCCCCGCCTCACGGTGCCGAGGCCTCGTCATGTCCCTTAAGATCGTGGGCAACAGCGCCCGCGCCCACCTGGGCTCCTGGCGGCAGCTGGCCTGGGGCGGTTCTCGGCGATCCAGCTCTCGTGGGCGGGGCAGGCCAGCGCGGGCCCGTTGTCCTGGTCCAAGATGATGGGCCTCTCGTCCAGCCGCAGCGCCGCGCCCTGCCCTGCCTCGGCCCCCCAGAGGCTGGAGGCGAACGGCTGGAGCCTCCTGCAGATGATCTCGGCCAGGACGAGCTCCCCCGCGTCGAGCTGGTCGTGCGCGGCGAGCTCCTGCAGCAGCTCCGACAGGAAGTGGCGGTCGTCCGCGCCTGCGTCGGAAGCCGCGAGGCCCTGCGCGGACCTCCACCAGAAGTGCCTCTGCAGCGGGGTGTAGCCAGACTCCGAGATCCTGGGGAGCAGCCGCGCTGCCGCGCGGTGGCCCATGACGAACCGGTCCACGAACGGCGTCGTCGACATCTTGGACGCCGCGTGAATGACCTGGCTCGCCCACCCGCCGTCGAGCGCGCCGCCGGCAGCGTCCGCCAGTCCCCGCCGCCGTTGGCCATCTGGTCTCTGGCCAGCGCCTCCGCCCAGCGCGTTGCCCACCGCCGCCGCCCAGGCTGGCCGACCGCCAAAGGGAGCTCGGGCGGGGTCGGGGCCCCCCGCGCGATCCCGCCCCGCGCCTCGGCCGCCAGCTAGATGGCGCCGGGAGGGAAGCCGCCGGCTGCGCCGCCGAGGGCGCGCGCAGGGCCCTGGCGGCCGACTGGCCGCCCTCGCCTGCCGCGGGCCCGCCAGGCGGGGCAGCCGCGCGGGGCGGGGCCAGGGGGTCGCCCGCCGGCACCGCGGCACCAGCCGGCGCCAGGGCCACTGCCCCCGCGGCGCCGTCGAGGGGCGGCGGGTCCGGCAGGCCCTACGCCTCCCGCACGTCCGCCGCTGGCTGAGCCGCGTCCATGCAGAGCTGGTCGAGCTCGGCAGCCAGGCGGTCGTTGTCCACCCGCAGGATCTGGCCCCTGGGTGTTGGGATCGGGAGGCCGCCGCGCGTGTCCTCGTCGTGCATGTCCCAATGGGAAGCAGGGACCACGAACCGATGCTGCGCGATCTGGGCCGACATGAATGACGCGCTAATGCCATTAGTCATCTCGCGGATCGTAATAGGGGAGGACCCTCGAACCCACCTGCGGGCTCTGGAGGACTCTGGCGGTGCTCTCGGCCAGCGTGAGCGCGGCTGCCATTCGCCTGGAAGTCGTCCAGCGGGAGCGGACCCTCCGCGGCGGTCACGCCGACGCTGCGCGCCGCCGTCGCCTGGCGCGCGCCATCGAAGGGTCGGCGGCGCAAGGCGGCCTCGGCAGCTCAGCACGAGCAGGGCGACCAGCAGACCACCAGCCAGGGCGCTGCCCAAAAGGCCGCGGCGAGGGCCCCCACGAGGGCCGGGCAGGGCGGCGCCGCCGGGCACGGTACGGCCGTTGGGCAGGCGGTCAGCCGCTCAGGGCCGCACCGCTG